CAGAGCCCGATATATTTTTCTTCTAAGTGGTGTTTATTTAAATGCAGATATCCTGGTTTCCCTTGTAGAGTTGCAAGCAGTACCTTTCAATTTAAATGTTAATAGTAGTGTACACTTCGAATCAAACTTCGTGAAGGGCTGCTTTTTCTGGATCTGTTGAATGGCTCTCCTTGACTTTCCTCCTCCACCCTTCCTCCTTGGCAACCTCCCTCTGCCCATTCCTTTCCACCCCCCTGAACTAAATTCAAAAAAGTCTGGAATGCACCTTTCTCATTTCAAATATCAGAATGTTAAATGTTAGGGTCACAGAAAATACAGATAAGGGACTCAAACCCAACAGGATTGGTGAGAAGATTTTTCTTTATCTTCACCTTTGCCTGCAGAGCCAAATGCATCACTCCAGCTCTCTCCGAGGGGATTATTCTCAGGCCAGCCCTGCATAATATTTTCCCAGGGCCTCAGGTAGGTGAGTTAGGCTTTCTTCCCTCCTTTTCTTCTCTTCTCTTTCTCTCTCTCTCTCTCTTTTTTTTTTCTAAAAAAGCAAGAAGAGATGGGGAAAGAAATATAAGCTATGTAAGGTCCTGAGTACAAAATTCTGCTTGTGGGCACAGTGAGAAATCACAAAGAATTAAAAAGGCAGTTTCCGACTCCTAGAGAGAGAAGATTGACACGAAGGTTAATGCACATGGCAGAAATGGGGCCGTCGCACATGGGCCGTTGCACAGACAGAGAGGCAGTGCAGACTTACTCAAGTGCAAACAAAAGGCGACGAAGACTTGAAAGCAATGGGAATAATATCTAATGCCTTTAAGTTCAAATACGGGGATACAGTAACTTCCCTCACGACCTCGTGGGCCAAGCTCTGTGTGTGGATGGGATCCCCATTGTCCTTCTAGTCCTTTTTCTGTCCTTTGTTTCATCATTATGTTCATACTGTTCAGTGTATGTTTTGTAAGCTTTTTGGAACGTGATGGAACTGTTAATATATAAAGCAGAATTGAGTTTATAATATAAATTTTATAGATTTTGATTCTGGTATTTCATTTCAAGGTATTAGTTTTGTTCTCTGGCTAGTCCTTTTTAATAGTATTCTGTTTTTATTTCATGCAGGAAGTGTCTTTCTTCTCTTGTCTCTTTGGGGATATCAGCAATGACTTTGAATTATTTTTTTCTTCCCTCTGCACGGTTTCCTCAAGTCGTTTTCCTCCCAGGTCATATAGGCTCTTCTCAGATATCTGGTGATGCTGGTTGTCTGCTCATGTTTAAAAGGTGCTAAAGAACTGCGCGGGAGCCCTGATTGAGGAGCCACTTATGGGGTGCTCCTAGTGTCTGTGCTGGTCATCCCTAGAAAGGCCTCCCCAGCTAGGCTGGAGGACAAAGGCTTAGTAGCTGGCTCCTGGGAGCCAAGTGGAAGAGCACTGGGGTCTCCATGGTAAGATTCAACACCCAGTATGTGTCCATGGGCAATCACCCTATCAGGGTGGGGTCCCTCAGCTGTGCTGGCCAGCCCTCACCTGAGCTCCTCCACCCCTATTCTGAAGTGCTGTGTTTCATGCCCCCACCCACTCCTGCAACGTGGGAGGGCAGGCTGGGATCCCCCAGTGAGGTGGCGTGGGGGAGGGGATCTAGGGATCTAGTTCCTTCTCAAATAACTTCCACCAAACCATTGTTTTATCTCCCTCCCTCTGCTTCACCGCCTGGTACAAAGGGACCTGTTGGTGCCATTCATGAGTCTCTTGGGGATTCTGCAGGTTGGTTTTCAGCTTCCCTGCTGTTGGCTTTAGATCTGGCTCTTCTGCTAAGTCAATTGCACCAGCCATCGGCTCTGCAGCTTCCAGTCGCTACTGTCGTCTCTTTTCCCATCATCCGCATCCTTGCAGATTTTTGACTTTGAAAACAAACAAACAAAAACTCCTAGCTATAGTTCTGGCTTGGTTTGGAAAGCAGAAATGCTAAATACATTTGTTTAGTTGGCCATTATAACCCAGTACATCTTAATTACATTATTTTATTTTTTCCATATACCTCAATAATGCAACTCACTCTGCTTGTAGTTTATTGGTTTTGAGGCTGTTTGTTGATAAATTATTTAACTTCTTTGAAAGTTAGAGTTAGGGTATTTCTCGTCCTCCCTACTTATAAGTTGTTGTCACAGTTTCCCTGAGTTACCACCTAGGTCTAAGGACAAAATAACCAGCTGCTCATGCACGGCTCTGGCAAAATCAGGCTCACAGGGCCATGTGGGAATCCTCCCGGGTCAGTGAACATACACAGGCATGACCTCTGGCTTTGATCTTGGTTTCCAGATCAAGAACTTAGCACAGCTCTCAGCTTCTGTCGACAGAGCCCTTTGAGAGACAGCAAAGTGTCCCTAGTGTGTGTTGGAGGGCAATAGCCCCTCCTGACTTGGGACACAGATGACTAGTGTCTGTCTCAGAACTTTGAGGGGAGGAATTATTCTCTCCCGTTCCCCCTTTTCCTTTTTTCCTTCTAAGTAAAACCCTTTGTCCTCATCCTCCAACAACAATCATCCTCCCTTTTTTCTGATTTGCATTTCCCTCTTGTTTTCCTGGCCAGCCCACTTTTCCATCCCTGGCCAGAGTGAACACACCTTATGTGACCCTTATCCACTTAATCCCCAGGGCAGTACCTCTGTGCCTCTGCATCTGCAGAGCCTGGGCGACCAGGTCAGGGCCTGCAGTGTGCAAGGCCAGGTGAGAGTCAGGCCCGCTGAGAGTCAGTGTCCGCTCTAGTGCTGCCAGAGGGGACAGGATTTCCTTGTGCCCAAAAGGGAAGGGCCCTGCACAGGAGTGTACTCCGCTGTGAGAATAAGCTCTGAGAATAAGCTGACCTCTCTCTCCCTTGCCCGTGAGGACAGTGGAGAGCAGAAGAAGCAATGGTGGCAAAGAGTGTCCCATTTCCGGGAATCAATCAAATGGTTGCACAGGTCAAGTGGGTCCTTTCTCCACTGATTCGCAGCTCAGGCCAGTTCACTCAGGAGTCCCTTGTGGAGGTGAAGAAAGAAGGGACTAAGGCAGAGAGCGTTTGGGGACTGGAGGGGCGAGGGCAGCCATGGGTAGTTCAGTAGGAAGTGGTGCCGGCGGCCAAAGGGCAGGAGTGTTCCTTCCCTGTTTCCCTTATTTCGAGCTGGCTGTGCAGGAAGCTTGGCTCGCATGTTTAGCATTGTAATCAAATGACATTTTCACAGAGTTTCAACTGACACTTCTGGCGATTGAGAGGTGGTACAGTGCTGCATGATATTTAGGCATCAAATGACCACAGTGAGGATTACTTCTACGTGGCTGGGGAGGGCCTGCCGGGTCAGTGAGGGGAGACAGGGAGGACTGGGCTCTGGAGCTCTCTGAGGATTTCTGCCTCTGAGACTGGAGCCCTGTCCTGCTTCCTCTGTAGGCCCCTCCTCACCTAATGGAGGGGCCAGCCCTCCCGCCCCCTCTCCCGCCAGCTTTTTCCCCTGGGCAGGGGCTGCCAGGGTCTGATCTTCAATGTCAGGACTAGAAGGTGGAGCAGATCCCTCTACAGAGGGGTCTTCTAGCCAAGCCGTGCCAGGAATCCTTTTGTTTGTTCTGCTGTGGCTCCCGATGGGGTGGCTGGAGTGAGAGAGGAATGGAGGAAAGGGGATGCCCTCGTGAGGTGTGTAGACTCCAAGGTGCTCCCCACAAGGTGGGGTATTTGTTTCTCAGGGAAGGGAAGAGATTGTCCAGGCAGCAGGGTTGTGTGTGCATGGGGTGTTGATGTGGGTTGCCTTCAGCCACCCTCCCCTCCACCCTCATGCTTCACCTCTCCCCTTGAGAGAGGGGAATGCCCAGGGGTCTTCCAGGCTGCTCTGCAGCCCCCCAGGGAGCACAAACCTTGGGGCAGAGGCTGCACACTTGGCTTTGCCCCTGCATGGAGACCCGTGGCGGGGTGGGGCTGGTGCAAGGCTGGGATGGAGGGAGTGGGGAGGGGCCCGGGTGCTGCAGGTGGTGGCAGGCAGGGCGGAAGAAGTGGTGGCAGGAGTGCTCCCCAGAGGAGGAGAGAAGGCCAAGTTCTGGGGAAGGAGAGTGGGATGAGGAACATGTGCAGGGGCCGGGGGTGTGGGGTGGACACGTGCAGGGAGGTGTGAGGGTGGCTGGCTGCCTCTGGTTGCAGGAGGGCAGGGTGAGGGCTGGGGAGGAAGCCGAGCTGAGCCAGATGCTGCGTGGCTGAGACGTGCAGCAGGGAAGGGCCTGAATCGGGAAGCCGGCCCGGGACACGGCACGGGCGGAGGGCGAGGCAGGTGCGAGGAAGGGCGCCTGCTCCCGGGCGCAGACAGGGCAGGCAGTGTGGTCCCCACCCTGTAGCCCTGCATGCTGGGACACCTAAGCCCTGGGAGCCAGGTTGCAGGGAAGGAACCCTCAAATCCCCAAACCTGCAGCTTCTCCTCACACACAGCCTCCTGTGGAGACCAGCAAAACCCCGGAGAGAAGGGAGGGAGATCTGGCAGGTGCAGCGTGATTGCCAGCTCCCTGCTGGGCTACACCAGCCCATCTCTCCTGTTCTCACCTGCTCCGTGAGCCTGAATGATGCTATGGTCAAGACCCAGAACCACAGGGATGTGGATCCCATTCCCTGTTCTACCACTTACTAGCTGTGCACCTTTCAGCAAGTTGCTCTGTTTTGCACATAGGGATAAAGACAGCACCTGTCTCAGGAGGTTGCGATAGATGCATGGGAAGGACAGCACCATGCCTTGCACCAAGGAGGTACACAAGAAACGACAGCTATATCACAATGACTTTCCTCCTGTGCTTAGGAACTGAACTGTCCTGGAGCATTTTTGCATGAGGACAGTCACCATGGGGGTCCTCTTCTCTGCCAGGGACACCTGTCTGAAAAGGACAGGTTGTCTTCCTGCCCCTGCAGAGCCCTGCCCTTTCCCTCCCCATCCAGGGCTGGGTGCACCCTGACCTGAGCCCCAGGAGCTGATGCTGACTTGCCCGCCTGCTTTCCCACAGACCTGCGCAGAATGACAGCCGGCTTCATGGGCATGGCGGTGGCCATCATCCTCTTCGGCTGGATCATCGGCGTGCTGGGCTGCTGCTGGGACCGAGGCCTTATGCAGTATGTGGCAGGGCTTCTCTTCCTCATGGGAGGTAAGGCTGCTGGCATGGGGGTGGGGTCGGGGTGGGAAGGGTCCTGGTTGCTGGAATCCTGGGAGAATGGTAGAGGGCATGGCAGGAGGGACCCTGACGTGACTGGGGCTCTTCTCATTTACTCCTTCATTGATTCATCACATGTACTCTGAGCTCCGCTTAGCTACTCCCCACTGTGCCAGCTATTGGGGATGTGAAGGAAATTCAGACGTGGTCCTCACTGTTGGGGGATCTGACTGGGGTGGGAGAGAGACCCTTGTCAAAATGTTTATGAGATGTGGTTATGGCAGATACAGGTATCATACCTGGAGAAGCACGGACCCAAAAAGTGCTTGGGCATTTGGGGTGGGAAGCAGGAGGGGGTGCTAGCTGGGCAGTTTCCCCTCCAAAAGCCTATCTTTACCCTTGATTTACGGATCCTAATGCAGCACCCATTTCTAATTAGGCAGTGGTGGGACAGGGCTAGACTCTCTTGCATATCTGTCTCCCTTACTCTATTACCGTCATGGCCAGAGGACCGACCCAGTGTCCTGTTAAAGGGGTTGTATATAAGGAGAGCTGCATAGCTGTGCAGGAATAGGTTCCAGTCCATGGCAAGTGATCGGCAATCCACGATCTGCTTGTGCCTCTTCTTTTCCCTTAAGAGCTAAAATGTGCCTTTTGGTCTCCTGGTTTGAGTCTCCATCCAAAGCTGAAGTTAACCATTGCATGGGGCATGGTAGAGGAGGAATTGGGCTTGGACAGAGGGGATTAGAAATATTTATAGAAAGAAGGAAAAGTGAGTCCTGCATATGGACTTTACTCACCCTGTGCAAATGCCCAGCTCAGGTTCCTTTTGTGAAAGGCCAGGTCTGGGTTTCTGAACAGAGGTGGGAGGTGGATCAGTGGGCTGTGCTGGCTCTTTGCCTACACGTCAAGGTGAGAGAAGGAGGGGGCTGTCCCTTTAGATGTACAGAGATGTCACTGGGTACTAGTGAGCTAAGGTTGGTTGGGGGGGTGGAAGGAGAGACTCGTAGAATTGGGCTTGGGCCTTAGGGTCCCCCCTGTTCCCTTGAAGCACAGCCATTCTGTGCCAAAGACACGTGGGGCTTCCCAAGGAGATACTGTTTAAAGCCCTCCATACTCTCTGCCATCAGAGCTGCCCTCTGGGGCCCCGCACCTGCCGCCATGGCAGAGGCTGGGGGAAGGAGGAACTCAGAGGCTCTTTCCAGCAGTTCCCACACCCCTCCTGGTCTCCTGCAGAGAGAGGCTGACTAAGCCAGCCAGGCTTGGCTTTTCTGAGCCTCAGTGTCTCCTTCTGTGAAACAAAGAGTCAGACCAGGCCAGTGATGCCCATACATTGTTTTTGCAGCACAATTCTTTTTGTTTCCCCATTTCAATCAAAATCTTACTCGGACCCCTAAAGTATAAAAAGATAAAAGTGGAGCGGGTCTGTTTGTAGTGAGGGCTCTCTCTAAGGCTCTTCTGGATATACAAAGATGGGCTCCAGTAAAACAGGGCTTTCCTAAGGCTCTAGAGAAGTCTCCCAGGAATCGGAGAAAAGCTGAGCAAACAGGCCTCGGGCAGAGCAGGAATCCAGCGAGCCCTAGGGGCTGGAGCTCTTTCATCTCCACCTCTTTGGAAGAGTTTGCAGCTCCTGCGCACATTCTTCGTGGTCCCCTCTCTTCAGGCTAGGGACAGAGCTCAGATTCTGTCCAGGTGCTAAGTCTCCTGGACCTTTCAGCTCTTTGACAGCTTCCCTCTGGGTTGCTTAAGTCAGCTTCCAAAGAAAGAGAGAGATGATGCGATTGGCCAGTTGATCTTTCCTGGCCAGGCCATACACCACTGGTCAGACCATAGACAGACCAGAATGGAGTGCCACTGTCTGGGCCATCTGCTGTGAGTGCAGTGGGGGCAATGGAACACTTCCCACTCACCTGAGACCTTGGGTGGACAGCCTCCCAGAAGGGGTGTAGGGGGCAGGAGGATGCCCAGAGTCCTGCCCTTGGCTGCTGGGCCACTTCCCAGAAGGCTGAGACTCTGGGGGAGCCAGCCTGAAAGCCCCCAGGCTTGATTAGGAATCTGAGGGCCCTCACCACGGGGTGAATGAGTGGGAGCCTTGCTTAGCCCTTGCCCAGGTAGTGCTTTTCAACCTTTGCATGTTGGAATCACCTGGAGAGCTTCTCAAAAATACTGATGCCGGGACCCTGGGCAATCCAAGCAGAACTTCGGGGGTCATCTTAGTGTGCAACCAGAGTTGAGAGCTAGTGAAACAGGTCAACTTTCAAGTTGTTTCCAACTCTCATATTTTATGATACTAGGGATGGACTGGTTGGTCAAAACTCATCATTTTTTTTTTTACCCTGGTCTTTTGTGACTGTTTCTCCAAGCCTTACTCAGCAAGAGGTAGGGCAGTACATTAACTATTACTGCAAAGGCCCATCCAAGCCCTGATACTGAGGGGCCCAGATAAATCTGCTTTTCCAGAACAAGCACTCTTTTTTTAAGTAGCAAAGCCATGCTTTGTGATAGTGTTAGCATCCAGAAGACCTTCGGGAAGCTGCTGTTCCAAAAGCTGCTTCTTGCTGACTGGGGCACTGTCCAGGGCGGAGCAAGCCCATCTCATCCACAGATTCGCAGCCTTCTCATCCACCCTGGAGCTTTGTTACCTGGGTCCCTAGGGACGGAAGTGCTGGCCACACGCCTTGTGGGTAGCATCAAGCCAGACACCCACAGAAGGGGCTGAAGAACAAAGCCACTAATTGCTGATCCTTTGAATGGTGGTCTTTTTTGGAAGATGTGCCTCTGAGGGGTGCAAGTTCCTTCTCAAGTTAAAGCCCTTTCCAGCTGGGCTAGACACAGCCATGGGTGTCCAGAGCCCGGGGCACCTTTGGTTTGGTCAGGAACCATCAGGGAGCAGACTCAAGAATGGAAGCCGTGCTTGCCCCTCCCTGCTCAGCAGAGAGAGCTCAACTGAGAGGCTGGGGTGTCAACTCAGACATGATACCTGACCTATAGAATCTTGTGTGTCGAAGAGACATTTCAACACCAGTCCCTCCCAGAACCTGCCCAGTCCTTGCCCTCTAGGAGTTAATCTTCTAGGATTTAATCCCTACCCTCTGGGAATTAATCTTCTTTTTACTTAACCAAGTGGAATAAAAAGGCCCACGGCCTTAGCTTTCACCCAGGTTGGGGTTAAAGGTGTCTGTAACTGAGCAAAGCCAAATGCCCACAGGGTTAGGTTGGGCTGCAAGTGAGAAGAGCTGGCCGGGACTCCCAGCTGCAGTGTCTGGAGCTGGCCAGGCATGGGTGTGGTGAGTGGGTGGAAAAGGAGGAGGCAGCAAGAATGAAAAAGGTAAATTTGGGGTTGAGTCAAAAATGGAATTGCAGGTGACTTTAGATAAAACTAGCAGGGCCAAAATAAAAATGGAAGCATTCTATTCGCATCCTCTTCTCTGTTCTGGTATGAAGGAAGGTGTCTTACACTGATCACTTCTCTGTTCCAGGTTTAACTGTTCCTCAGGTTAAAGAGAGGGCACCCTGCACACTGTGAAATAATGAGCAACAAATTATTTAACACTTAACCCAGAGGAGGCGATTCATTAACTAGGGCAGCTTTGTCTGGCCAGGAGGCTGGGCGTGGTGGGTGGGATCCAGTTTCCCCTTTGGCAGGGCCTCCAGAGGGAACTTTGCACAGACTGGCAGGACACAATTTGCATGCCAGAATCACCAGTGATATTCAGAAACTCAGGAACAGGATGATGGGGGCAAGGCTTCACAGCAAGGGATCATGTGACTGCTCCGATGACTTGTGACTCCCTCACTGGGGGCACCTCAGAGCCATGTCATGAACACAGATCTCCAAGATGAGTAGAAAAATCCAATCCATGCCCCACTCCAACAGACCCTCTCCCAGTCCTCCCATACTCTCTGGAAGACATCTGTCACCTCTGCCACCACTCAGGTCTAAGGCTCCATGATCTTTTGACCAGGCTGATGCTGGCACCTCCCATCTGGATGCCCTGACTCCACTCCGACCACTCTGCACTGGTCCTTCACAGAGCAGTCAAATAAAAAAAAAAAAAAAACCAAAAAAACCCACTATAGATCAGATATGTCTCTAATCCACCGTGAATGGTCCAATGACTTCCAGTGGAACTTAAAGTCCATTCTATCCTGGAACACGTGGAGTTTTACTTCAAGACCCTTGAGCTGGTTGATCTCTTTGTCCATGGTGCCTTCCCCACAATTCCTTGGATTCAGATTCCAACTTAAAAGTGACCCCCTCAAAGAGGACTTCCTTGACCCCCCAATTTAGTCAAGCCACCTAGGCACTCTCTATGTTTTAATTAATTTAATTTTCTACAGCACACTCGCTACTTTCTGAAGTGTTTGTGGTGGTTGTGTTTCGTGTTTGGTTGATTTTTTAGCAGTTAAAAATGACAAACATTTATCTCACAGATCCCATGGGTCAGAATCCTGGGCACAGCTTCACTGGGTTCTCTGATGACAGTTTCACAAAACTGCGATCTATGTCTCAGATGGGGCTGGGGTCTCATGCAAGGCTTGCAGTATTCTCCCAAGATCATGCTGCTGTTGACAGATTCATATCCTTGCAGCTTGGAACTCATTGAAGTCAAGGCCAGTAAGAGAGACAGTTTCTGACTTCTGTCTCTGAACTTTAGACCCTCTTTTTTTTTTTTTATTAAGTAGACATTATTTTTTAGAACAATTTTAGATTTACAGAAAAATTGAGCCATAGTACACAGAGTTCCCTTATTACCCGCCCTCTTCACACAGTTTCCCATATTATTAATATGGCACACGTGTTACAATTAATGA